GTATATAAGGGAGAATTCCCAAAAATGGAAAGAGGTGGGTGGGGTGCCACTGCGTTTGATTTATTACATGAGCAATATCTTGGCAAATTGAAAAGATAAGAGGCTCTTATTTTATATACTAGGTTGTCAATATCAGTAATTTGAGTTTCTAATTTGAACCAGTGCTGCATACAACATACCGCATGACACGCAAAAATCGATGTTCAACTGTTTTTTAATATTTGCATTTCAATTAAGAAATTCAGTAATATATAGTACCAAAATTTGAATTATAATCTACAGTTTGACACTAAAGTTATTGATATAGATTCATGACATAGTAGTTTAATAAACTTTTGAATGCGAGTCAACAAACAACATGACATGGCCTTTCACCCGTGACCCGTCTCAAAAAGGTTAAAACAATAGATAATCTGTTCAAAACTACTGTTCTAAGATAATTTCAGTCACCTTTTTCAGCTTATTTTCATATCATTCAGTTATCTGATGATCATTTGTGTGATCTACATACAACTAATGGGTCATTCAGTGTATGTTGTATGTATCAGGTTCTCAACCACTGGGGGTTTACCCTGCAGAGGAATGTATCAGATTTCCTCTGGGATGTACAGTGTTCAGATAATACAGTATAATAACTAATTTGTTGTTGTTGTTTTATGATTAACTGGAAATTTTACGGTTAATATTTATGTTTTTAAATGATTATTTTTTAATATTCCCTATTTATAACCACAAGTATAAAGCAGAGAGCTAGTTAGAATAAATTCAAAATTTAGCGAGTTTTAGTAACACGCTGTTCATGCAAGATTATGCAGCTGTAGAGTACTAAAAAGGATAGGTTTGTGGTATGTGAAAAAAATGCATTTTATATGTGATGTTTTGTATGTGAATATCTGGGATGAAGCAAAATTAAGTTAAATATTTTTGGTAAAATGTGGCTTGATGCAAAAGAAAGGTTGAAAATGTCTACTACCTATAATAGTCTCTCAATCAGGCACCTGGACAGAACAAATCATCATCCGCATCTCCAGCACTTGTGGACGTCATTTCTGGCATGTTCTAGTAATAGGGTCCTTGTACCTGAACAGAATCAAACGTTCACAGCTGAAAATAAGTGCCATGTCAATGTACAGACAATTAGAAGCAAGTTTTACAAGGTCAGCTTGTATGCCAGTTGTTCAGTGGGGGTGCATTCTACTCACAACAAGGCACAAAACAACTTATCTAAGAGTGGTGCAAAGAGCACCTCCATTGACGTAATGACATGTGGAGCAAGATCCTTTTTACAGATCAGTCATTCTTTACCCTACAACCAAATAATGGGTGTAATCATTTGGAGAGAATCTAAAACAATGTCCAACTCCATTTTCTTAGAGGAATATACATTTATTATAGTACCACAAATTATAGAAACAGAATTGTGTGTCTCTTTATGTTGGTACATTTGGCTCTGACTTTAGCAAATAGATTATGCCCATTCTCACTGTCTTTAGCCGGTCGACACATTCCTTGAAGCTAAATAGAATCTGCAAGTAACTAAACTATTGAATACGTGTGAATTGCTTTTGGAAGATAAACCTCGGATAACACCAGACACTAACATGCCCTGGAAAGAGCGGACCAACTATATCCCAGTGCTAGACTGCCTTGTTTGTTATTGGTAAACATTCTTCATATTGAAGTGAAATGTCCTGAACTGCAACAAGTGTGAAGCTTCTTCTAACAAATTTTTATTCATAAGCATTTCAGATCCTATGAAGTATCATCAGATGGCTGATTTGCATAAAAATGAAGTGGAGGGTGATTGACAATATTATGTAACAATGATTTTGTTTTTGATACAGTATCTCTCCTCTTCTCGTGTAATAGCTTTTCTCGACTTTACCTGCCCTCTATATGTGCAAATTTTCGCTCGCCAGCAGCCTTGATACTCCCACCTACCATTGCATGTTTTCACATGAGGCAGCTGCATGACAGCATGGAAATGAGTATGAAACAACCCTCCATCAATAGGAGTGTGACACTACTCCTAGCACAGCTAACTCCTCCTATGCAGCTTAGCTCAATTTCACTTTTCAATTGGCTCTCGTGGTGTTAAGACATATTTTTATTTTAAATGTTTGCTACACTTAAATTCTAAAAAATTTTAATATTACTTGTTATTAATTTTCTTATGTATTTCTTTGGAGTTCCCTGTGTGGATTTTTCTACTTGTTCTTATAGGTATCATGAATTCTAAGTTTAATGCTACAACTACTACCACTGCTATTCCTACTGCAATTAACATTACTTCATCTACAATGACTTCGGGTCTGCAGTTATATGCAGGAGATGTTACAGCTTTGGTTCACTGAGAGTTTGCTACCTTCATGTGAGGTTCTGGTTCTCCTGAAGATTATCCTGCAATGCTTTATTCACCATCTTGAGTACCACGGTTTCTCTGTGAGTGAGTAGATGCTCTTTTTATTCTGTTCTTTTTTACAGGGGCCTTTTTTGGATATATGGATTCTGCTTAGTGGTCAATGTTGCCTTACCTAGTGTACTTATTCTTAAACCACTATTGTACAACCATTCAGGTCAGTAACGTCAACTGTTGAGATGGGGTGTTCCACAAGACTGCTTGTAGGTTTTCCTTACAGTTTTGCATCATAAATATGTTTGCCCCAGACTGTACACTCATGGACTATCATGAGTAAAGCAGAAGAAGACTGTTTCCCATCCCTGCCACTCCTTGGTTTGGTTGTATCAGGAACGGTCTGTTTTTCAAAATAATGTTTAGTGGTCACACATTGCACTGTCTGTTGTGTTGCATTCCTCCAGACTATCCAATGCATCTCCCCACCCCACATTTTTCCAGTAGGGTATGGGAGTCCTTACCACTTACCAGCTCCTAACCACTGGGATGATGGACTGTAGAGGCTTCCTCCTGAGTGTGCTCAATTCCATCAGTTGTGAGTAGACTAACTAAAACCTTCAAAATACACATTTCCAATTTTTTTCAGCATCCTTATATATATATTTATATGACCTCTAGAAACTTTGAAATGCATATCTACAATATTTTTTCAGTATCTCTGTATATTTTATCTTGTGTTTATCCTCTTTCACCACAAACTATCACTAAATCAACAATGTAGGGTAAAATGGAAGTTGGTAACTCTAACATCAAATATATACCATGTTGAATGGTGCTCTGTAAACGCTCATGGCATGTACACTGTGACCTCCCACCTGTGGACATAAGGTTAATCCCTACATGCAGGCTGGTGTAGCCTTATTTGGAATAACCCTTTTACTCCTGAAATAAGCATAGAGGACAACAGAAACAGTAAAGCCCATCTACCTGTACCCAGTGCCTGCTTTTGAGATGAGATTTTCTGCAAGATTACGTTGGCAGTATATGTATACATATTTACTTTTTAAGTGTGATTCCACACCCACTCATCTGGCTAGCTCCTGTTGTCCCTATTCAGATGATGAGATTATTCTTGTTCTGTTCTTGCAATTTTCTGTGTTCTTCCCTATGCAAATTCCATCCCAATTTCTTCTGTTAGAGTGAGAGAACATTTCTCCAGAACCATGCTGCTGGAGTTGTTGTAGCCTTACTTGTATGAGATAAAGTAGATACATCTCTTGATCAGAAGAGTGTATCTAGGAGAGTAGTTTACAGGCTGCCCTCAGTACTAAGGACCAGGTTTTCTGCTACTTGTTATCAACTGAATGGATCTTGAGTTCTTCTTGAGATGCCTGTATATTCTTGTAAGTATTTCACTTACTTTTTTTTCACATACTTTATAGCTTGACACATTGCCATAGCCATACTTAACTTACATGGTATGCTGATCTCCTGGAATATATAGGACAATTACACAGCTTTCACATTACTCCCATCTTTACAACCTTTAGCAACACACAAGAAGTTCTTTTGACAGAATCTTTCTTCTGAACTTCCACTTGTATTAAACAAAGAGTATTATTCCATGCTTGAAATATATGCAATCTTCAACCAGATGATGCTGTCACTAGCCCCCCACCATGAGATTCCCCTTCTGTTGCTATGTTCTCTGAATTGAGCTCATCTTCTTCCTCTGTATTGGTCCATCCACCATCTTCTCATTGTGGGATTCTACCTATCTAATCTGTAGAGAGGTGAGTAGCATGTTTCTTACCTGAAAGTGTATTTCAGATAGATACTCTTCTCTCCACAAAACCATCCACTTCCAGTGTGTCTCTTTTGCTTCATCAAGAATGAGCTTTTAGCATACACATTGTGCTCAAGGGTAGTATTGCACAAGGAGGATATGTCACACTCCTATTAGTCGAGAGGTATGTTTTAATGTTGATTACATCATACACTGACGTAGTACATATTATTCTGTATAGGGGTGGGTGTTTCATTCAGAGGCTTGGCACATGTGCGAAATCTTTTTTTTGCGGTGGCATTGATGTATTAGTTATTTATTTTGTGGAGAATAAGTAGCTTTTTTATTGAAGGATAGCGTTAAATGTTTCTTGTAACCATCAGGTGAAAAATCAGAATGTGCAGAATTATCTGTAGCATAATAAGTAAGTCAATATTTCTTGTTCTTTAGTGTTAATTTAGATTTATATCTAACAGTGGTACTATTGTATTTTATATATGATAGGATTGGAGGTCCCAGAATACAAGCTACCCTTTGAAGCTGAACTGGGCAAACATCCAACTGTAGATCAAATGCAAGTTCTTGTAGCACGTCACAAAGCTCACCCTCTCTTCCCAGAGATCTGGAAGGATTCAAATCCTGTAAGTGTAATATTGACCAATACATATGTGTGTGTTTGACAACTGCAGTACCTAATTCAGCAAAGTAACCCATCTTCATATGCAGTTGCCTATAACAGGATAAGGTTCACCATATTGTTCCATTTATTGACATTAGTATAGAACTAATTTTAATTAAAATCAGTAGTAAGAGACTTCTATACAACATTTATTACATAACTAGCCACGATATGCAAAACATTTGTGGTAGTTTTCATGCCCTTAGCTTAAATTTTCCTTATTTTATCATTTTCATGCACATCATTTAAGGTACGCTTTCTTGCAGGCATTATGTGTTAGATGGATAAATCATGGTCTATTTGAAAACATTTTACACAGTCAGACAAACAAACTCACATAGACAACTTTAATAAAATTACAAGTAAACAATAAAGTATAGTAATGGTATTTATAATAATGTACAGAGTATGAAACTGTTATGAGCATTCAGTGTATGACATGGTTTTATAAATTGAAACAAAGAAACTCACAAAAAGACAAAGAATAAAACCCGCAGTAAAAACAAAGTAGCTAAAAGGTGTTTATAGCAGTCTATGAAACAAGCTGAAGCTATATCATTGCAAGGTAAAGAAAATGTAAAGTTGTAATGTAGGCAAACTTAGCTTAATATGTAGAAATGTCTGAATGCCTGTTAACAAAGTGATAAGCATATGGTTTTGAACAAACTGCAAATGTGTATTTTAGACCTAAATAAGTCGAGAAAGCCCATAGCAATCGTATTTAGTGTAATGGTTAAGTGATTTTCGTGTAAAATATAAGGACACTCAACTTTGAAGTTATATACTTTCATTTTCAAATGTGAATATTTCAATGGCTTGGTGGTAAGTCTCATTGCTTACAATGCTAAAATTCATGGTGAGCACGGATTGGCCATTGCATAGTTTTATGCTTTATAACAAACAAACAGTATGTTACAGTGTTTACTACTCACAGTTCGTTAGATACAGTAGAATTTTTCAACATTACAATACTTTGCAGATACAGCTCGTAAACTCATTCTCATTTTTCTCATTGCACATTTTAAACAAAAAATTAATTCAACTCTGTGAGAAATATGATAACATTTTAGCTACTGATTATGGGTTTACAAGTTTTTAATTAAAGAGTATCACAACCTTTTAAAAACTGTTACGTCTACACCTTAATTCCTTTGGTTATTGTTTATGGTAATAATGAATGACTTTGGTGCATTGACTACCATTCTATTATTATTATTATATATATATATACAGACACACATACACACACAGGGTTCTAGATAACCTGAACCCCCCCCCCCCCCCGGTACTAGATATGCACCACCAAATGCCCAATATGCAAGGCTAGAAGAAGTACTTTGCTCTGAATTTTGTACCATAACAAACTAAATAGTATACATTTTGCACACAGCAGTCCACAATCAACTTCTAACAGGTTTCATCAAAGACAAGAAATTGCACGAAAATAAAGCCTCGTGAAAGTACTACTTGATTAACCCATTCATCTCAGGTAGGTCAAAGTGTACATGTCACAACCTTTCATAGAGTTACATTCAAAATTTAATTAAACTACTTTATTATCAAAGTTTATGAATAAACTCAACATCAGAATGAAGATAATAAATCAATGTTTTGTATTATTTAAGTTTTAAGTTCTTAATTTTATAAGGAAATGTTTTAAAAAATTCTCAATCTACCCTAGTATGAGAACTGTGACGTTTGTTATTAATGACTTTTCTCTTTAATTTTTTACCACCCCTCCAAGAAGTACGAAATTTAATGTAAATTACTGGTTATAATGTTTTCATCAGAACTTGCCAATAGTTCTCTCTAACATTTAAGACTATATTATTTATAACCAATAGAAAGCCAAAGTATTTCTCTACCAAGTGACATATTATATTATGTTATTGTCTGTACAGAGAATTCTCTATTTTCTTTCCAGTTCAAACTTTATTTGGGAAACACATTAAAGAGTTTATTTGAATTTTTAATGGTTTTTGTCACACAGTTAGAAAGCCAGAAAATTTGTGATAGTTATGAACATTGTTTCCATTTTGTATATTATTATTCTGTGTTCTTTGGTGCATTATTTAATTAAATAGAAATTATTTAATGCAGTAGTACAATAAGTATAAAAAAAGTAGGGTTAAGTTTCATCGACAGTTGAGAGCAAAAAATAGATCCAGGTAAGTACTGGTTCTGGTTTAGAGTGTTGAGAATAATATCTGTTATCACATGTTTTGACCGAATGCCTCTGGTATTTCAGCTTCACTTTTCACAGAATTATAAATGTTTGATCTTGTAGTTTTGAGTTCATATGTCCTTTGATAAGTGAATCTCACTGTGAAAATTGGCATGAAATATGGGAAACTGTTGACTCCCATGCTCTGGAAGAGAATGTGAATGTGCTTACATGATTGATTGTACGTTAGGAAGGTGTGTGTGCGTGATTAACCCCTTATCATGCGGGCAGGTCAAACTGCACACTTCACAAAATTTTATTAAACTACTTAATTATTATGGTATACAAACAAACTTAACATCAAACTCTAGAAAATAAACCAAATTTTAATATTATATAAGTTTTAAGTTCTGAATTATATAAGGAAATATTTAAAAACCTCAAATTCCCCTAGTGAGAGAACTTGGATTTGTTTGTCCACCCCCTAAGAAACTACAAAATGTAACATGAAATATTCTCTCTAATTTATCGTCTATATTCTGAAGCTATATTTTTAAATTCTTCAATCTTATGGGGCTAGAGAGCAATCAATGAGAATTAAGAAACCACTTTTCATGCCTATCTCTGACATGCTCCAATTTACAATTAGCTAATAGATGTTTCTGAGGCCGACTCCCATTAAATTTATAAAGCCTAAATTTCAATTGATTCATTGCCATAGTCGTCATACCATGTGGGCTTACAGATAATTGATGGTTTGGTGTGATGTGAATAATAATTTTCCCATGAGGACACACTGGGATGAATGTTTGAATTTCTAATTACTCAAGTCACATAATTAGAGATGATCGAGTATTGGTGCCGGCAACTTGGTACTGTCGGTACTATTGCAAACTGTGGAAAATATGCAAATGTTATAGAATATTACAATGCATAGAAGTTTTACTTTTTAGTTTATCTAGAGATGATGCTATTTATACAGTTGTTATAATAATCTGTCATTTCTTTGGGTTACCAGTTTTAATATTGATATTCAGGACATTAAACATCAGTGAACAGTTATCATATGAGAATGCGAAATATATGAGTTATTGTTATTAAATGAAATCAAATACTTGTATAAAATGGTGTTAAAGTAATGTTTTGTTTTTAACTCTTACTCATAAATCTAATTTGTAAATTACTTAAATAAGCAGTAATAATTATAGTTCATTTGCTTAATCTGCTTCACACCCTAAAAGTTGTTCATTAATGAAAACTGATAATATATATGTATCATGTAGACCATTACTATGAGCACTGGATGTAACAGATGTATTGTAGTTAACATCTGATATCATGTTCTTCTTTGCTTTAACTCATGGGTTTTAAGAGTTAGTATTTTTAAACTATATATATATATATATATTCCTAAAAATCTTTTAAAAAATTGACCAGATCCTAATCTTGATTTGCATGAAGTACAATAAAAAGAGTACACATTCATTTGTGCAAAATTACCCACACTTTCAACAGTTAATATAAGAACGTGCATGACCCATATAAGCTTAGCTTATAAAGTGTGGAGCGTGGTCTGTCATAAAATCCAGTAAGCACCTCATATATATTTCTCTGAGGAATTCAATGACAAAGCATAATACTATATAACTATATAAACTAGGCATTGTATGTGATATTATAATGGTAAAGCTTTATATTCTTTGCTTCAATAAATATGTATAAAAGTTTGCACATTTTTTTTTCTGTTATGGTAACTAGAACTGCAAGTGCTACAATTACTTATATTTACCAGAACTATGAATTCACATTATTTCTCACACAAAGAAAGGTGGTTAGCTGTGGTTCCACAGCTCAGGTTCTTTTATCACACACACACACACACACACACACACACACACACACACACACACACACACAAAACAGATACTGTGCTCCAAACATTTTGGCTGTAGGTGTGTTATAAAATTGACATTCATTTCTCACTTTTCAGTCTCACTTCAGTATTAGGGATGGTTAGTGCAGATAGTCCTCACGTAACTTTGTGAAATCCAACAAACAAATAACCTTCCAAAAAATGCTTAGTGGCTTACTTACCTGTTTTTCTCTTCTGGAATTCATCAAAAGATATATTCTTTAGGGTGTTCAGAGAAGCAGTTTTAACATGAAACTTTATTTAGTGAAACAACAGACTCTAACAAAGTTTTTCAATCACAAACCTTCAGTATAATTTTATCAACACACATACACATATGTAGCAGAGTATGAATTTTATTTCAATATTCTGTTCTGTTGATTAGTAGTTTTTGCTTAAAAATTGGGTTTAATAAAATTAATTAGAACATCTTTTATAAATATATATATATATTTGGTTTTTCCCATTTTCTGGTCACAGAAGTTTGTTTCTGTGTTTGTAAACCTATGTGAAAGCGAGACCCAAAACTAAATAGAGAAAAGTAACTAATTACTTATCATACAAGAGCCATGTAAACTGTGTTTGAATCTCAGATGTTAATGAGTTGTGTCTATTTATTAAACATTAACATTCTAGGTTGGCTTAACTCCATGAAATAGAGTACTTTAATGTACAAAGTGTATTATGTCAAATTAAATAAACAGTGTTCATGATAAAGGTCTTTTATTAGTTGTTGAATACTTTGTGATGTAAATTTCCACGAGTAATGCAATTGGTATATTGCACCTAACCAACTGAAAATTTTGGTCAATACTAGCATATAGTATTAACTTAGGTGATAATTTTGGAACTACCAGAATTCATCTGTACTATTTTAATTTTGATGACGAGGAACCCACTTTGAGACTAATAATGGCTGGAGATGGCTTGAATGGATAATGAAGAAAAACATTAATATAAGTTTAACATAACAGCAAATGTACAACGTTTCGACAACGTTGTCGAAACGTTGTACATTTGCTGTCATGTTAAACTTGTATTAAAGTTTTTCTTCATTACCCGTTTAAGCCGTCTCCTCTGTACTATGTTATTTGGCTTAAATAAAAAAAAAAGACCCAAATAATTATTTCATAAGTATACCCTTCTATAGTGCACCACATAAACAACAACTTGTGTGGATTTCTCACTAGGATTTTAGTACAGTATATTATTAAAAACTAAAAGAAAAAACACGTGCTGTTGTATGCATTTCATTTTAATTTTGTATAGGCTGTTCGTGCTTTGAAAGAAACCATTGAAGATTGCTGGGACCAAGATGCTGAGGCCAGGTTAACAGCACTTTGTGTAGAGGAGAGACTTGCTGAAATTCCTGTCCTATGGGAGAGATATAAGGGTAGGTTTGCAACAAAGTTTGTTTGTACTCTGTGGTGACAAGCTTTTTGAATATCAAAACTTGTAGAATTTCAATTCTTATTGAGGGGAAAAAAGTTCAGTTGTACGTGATAATTTATCATTTGGTAAGCTACAAAACTTATTTTTCTTTTCTAAAGTAAAATTTATATTTCCATTTGTGTGCACATAATTATTTTTGTCATATGAAAGATGCTAGACAATCTCCCAATTTTATATATTAAGAGCTACTTTATAGAAAAAAAGTGATTTAGAACTAAGTACATTTTTTTTAATTACTAATTTTATGTTATGTTTCAGCCATTAAGATCCTGATTCAGGTTATGTGATGGCTAGAAACATTATTCAAGTGTGTATCTTGTTAAAAATGTTGGTCTGCTGTTTTCTTTTCATTTGCACCTGATTCAACTATTTTGATATTCTCAATAGGAATATCTAGATTTTGCTGGCTTCTATATTAAGTTGCACGACAGTTGGATGTAGAAAGATTCCTTTTCTTGTTTGTGTGGCTCATAATTTATAATGTTGGTGTTATTTCACTATAAAATTGTGGACTCTTGTAGATAGATCAGAATTACAAAGTCTTTATATCTGTTGCATTCCTGAATTCTGACTTCTTTCGGTCCATTATATTGGATTCCACATTCATGTTTTTTACTACCTATTAATATGATACTATGATGTATTATAATCTGAAGACTGTTTGCAAGTCATTTGAATGTTTTTGTGAGACCTCTTATACAGGGTAGTAAGGGTGTTTGTCTAGTTTTCTTGATGCTTACCATCTTTATTTTCTTTATCAAGTGTTTGGTGTATCCATCATCAAGAAAGATCTTAGATTGTTTTCATCATTCTTTTTAAGTGTCTTTTGTATTATAAATTGTGTTCATTCTCAAGACTAGGCAGCTTGTGATGCCTCTTTTTACACTATTATGCTGATTTAATCTGTACTCAAGATATTCATCAGATGTCTGTGAAATTGCTGTACATTCTTGTTGTATGTCTTGGTAACTAGTATGTCTAGCAAGGGAGCTTGTTGTATTTTACTTTTTCTCTCTCCATTATCAATGGATATGGTTTGTCTAAGTGGTTCATAAAAATCTGGAATTTTGTCTCTGTTTTCTGTGTATGTGTTTAAAAAGTGTCAACAATATATCTGAAGTGTCTCATTTAGAGGTTACTGAGTGTTGAAAGAAGCAAATAAAACTCGTATTGTAAGAAGAATATCAATTGATGAGAAATTATTATTTAACAATAGCTTTGCTTTTTTAATATAAAGAGTCTTTTTAATCTTAAGGTCCTCTTTGTTATCAGAGCCACTCAGTATACTGTGGATATTGAACAGGTGTTTGTAGAAGTGGTCTTAAAATCTACCAATAAATAATTTTTTGTTTAATTCGAGGATGCGACTGATAAAGTTCAACTCTGTTATGTTGTTTATCACTGTGTTCAAGATTATATTGGTTCTACAACTGACTGCTTAGAACAATGTATTAAAGAATATCTACAATCAACTTCACTCAACAACATTTCAAATACTTACTGACATCGAGATGGTGATTGTCTAGGTTAGAATGCTGGATTGTGTGGCTCTGAAAGTAGAGGATCCTAAGATCAAAGAGACTGTATTAAGTGAACTAAGCAGTTTTTTAAATAAGAAAATGTCTTCAATTTACTAAGTATTGTGATAAAGATGCGTGTTGGTTTGAAGCTTAGGTAACTGTGTTTGTCTGGAGAGTCTGCATTGTTTGTTGGTTTGAAGCTTAGGTAACTGTGTTTGTCTGGAGAGTCTGCATTGTTTGTTGGTTTGAAGCTTAGGTAACTGTGTTTGTCTGGAGAGTCTGCATTGTTTGTTGATTTGAAGCTTCATACTGTGTTTGTCTGGAGAGTCTGCATTGTTTGTTGATTTGAAGCTTCATACTGTGTTTGTCTGGAGAGAGTCCTTGTTCATTTGAAATTTCAGTAACTGTGAATCTGGAGAAAGTCTGTGTTGTTTGTGAACCCACAGATAAGTCAAAAGGCAAACAAAATCAAAATTCGAGAACAGAATTGACACAAGACTTGGTACTACTGATCTCTCTGCAGTAGTTCACCTTACAAATAAGAAAATCAGATAATTAAGTTGATTGATACTAAAATAATGAGATATGTATCACACATAAGAAAAGGAAAGATAAAAAAAAAGCCTTCTACATTCAATTAACTGGTAACACAACAAACTTACTACAGAAACATGCAGAATCTGGATATTCCACCTTTGGAACATTCAAATAACACTGGCCAACAATTCATTTTCATCAGATATAGTTATAGATGGGCTAGATAGCTCTTGGGATGCTGATTCCAAATCTGTTTTGGTTTACGTATAGCACTTCAAGTTTTCATAATAAGACCGATCAACTTTGAAAGGTTATTGCCATAACTATAATTTCAGTTGTTGTACATTTCTTTTTTCATAAGTGTGTATTGTATATATATTTAACAAAGTGTAGTGTGTGTATAACGTTTATGGGAATTATACTGAAATATGAATAAAGCTGTAACGTTAACTAGCCTAATGTGTGATTATTACCTAAATTGTGCTGAAATTAACACCATTTATATTTAGATAATTGGATGTGCTAGAAGAAAACCAAAAATAGATTTGGAATCAGTGTGCAAAACTGGTCTAGAAAAGTGTACTTGCATCTTTGATGAATGGAAAAAGCTTGATTTTGTCAACCAGTGTAATTAGTCAAATCAAGTTGTAATGGAGTGAAAGCTTGGTCAAGTGAATAGCAGATCTACCTTTCTAGCAAGAGGATCCAGGTTTAGAACCTGGCTCCTGCAGCATTATTCATTCCTTTAACCCTGTGTGCATGGGTGAGGGTTTAATTAAACATGGGATTATGTATTTGATGTCAGAATTTAAACTATTCATTTTGCCTTGTATTACTGATGTAGGGATATTTAAGGTAGGGGAGAGTAAATACCAAATACAATACACAGGAATTTTGAAAAACAACAAAAAAACTGTAGATGTTCTGGAGATTATACAAATACAATAAGCAAACTGTATGATAAACAAAAGTATTTTTGTTCTTCACACGAACATCATCAATTCACGGACATATCTTGAGTACAAATACTTTTTTAACACATCTTATTTTTTTGTATACAACAGACTTGTACATTTCACTAAAAGCATGCCACATTTCATGCAGATACACATAGTAAACTTACTTGGAATTATAGTTAGCATTCTTTCTCCAATATGTGTTCTATTCAGTGGACTGACCACTTGCACATTTGGTTAATATCTAAAGTTCTGTAAAACAGTAGCAGATTAGTAACTGAAACATAGGGTAAAAGCTAATTACTAATTAATGACTAAAATAATTAAGAACTAGTTGATAATTTGTGTTTGATCGTATAAACTACTAACATAATTATTGGTTGTAACAGAACTTTATATACATAAAACTCTGTACATGGGATTTAATATTAGCATTACACAAGCTTAGTTATTCACCATATAGTCAATTTACAGGCCATTCTAGATTTCAAAACATGCTTATGTACATTGTTAAAATGTATTAACCTTTGTAGATTAACAAGCTTTACCATAATAATAAGTATGAAAAAACAAACTTAAAACACATAGAGATATTGTTTTAATTTAATTAGAAGAAAATGACATAATAGTTTAATATTTCAGTTATTGTAGATAAAAGCTTTATAAATCTACACTAAAGATACCTTTCTAGAAATGATCATTAATTTTCTTTTACAAAAGTTTAAAAGAAAGTAAGTTTCTATGATTTAATTTTTTTATATTTATTTTAAATGCATTAAACATTATGAAATGTAACTATGAGAAACAGCATTAAGCACCACTCTCACTGCTAGTTTGTTTGATTAAAGTTATGATTCCTCAGGGATTGCTGAAGTTTTTTTTTGAAAATTTCATTGTACATAAACTTGAAAGAAACTTTTTTTTTTTTCAAGCTGGTCTGAATATCTATGGAGTGAGTCCAACTGTGAACCAAACTGGCTCTTCTCAGGATAATGGCCCCATAATTAATTCTTCATCTGGAAGTCAACGCACAGCCAGTACAATGCTCAGTACAACAGCTACAGATAGCTCTCGGGGCAACAGGATTAGTCAAGGTCATGCTAGCAACACTTCAGAAAATACACTTGAAACCATTTTGACAGTATCGCCTTCAGAATCCTCTGCTCCACCTGTCACTGGGGGAGAAAAGAACAACATTGCAAACCTTGGTGGGTTATTTTACCCAAAAGTTATTGGTCCGTTGCAACCTCATCAGGGTCGCAATCCATGCATGGAGCGAAATCTTATGGTGGAATCATTTGAAGAGGTTTCTGTAGAAGGAAACCAGCTAATGGACAAAGGATCCAAGTATCACAAATCACCTCTAAATCATACAGGTGAGGATATTTTTGATAATCTGAATTTATCAGAAAACCTAGAAAGTAATGCCTTGGTTTCAAGTGATGTCCTTGGGCACAATTCCAACCCTATTCCTTATCTGCAGAATGCTGTTCGACCTTATGGGGTGATGCCCAAACAGCCCAACATGCCTGGAAATGGACATAACACGATTCCTGCAAGTTCCAATGAGAAAAAGGTTGGCAAGAAACCTTTCACCTTTTTTCAGTGGAAAGAGAGTAACCATGGCTTTATTTTTGGGATAAAAAATTTTTTTAGCCGAAATTCAAGTGATAAGAAAAAAGTTGCACTTCAGGAAAAGCAGCAGACTCATAATCATGAAAATGGAACAAAGATTAATATTGGGGATTCATTTAATTTTAACTCTCTCAAAAACGTTCAGGCTGCTCCTAAGGATACTATAGTTTGTATTATGGATCATAGAGGGAAAAGTGATCCTTATCAAACTGTAGTGCGTACTATAGAGAAGAATATGAACCTAGCAAAGGCAAAGAACTATGTATCTAGTGATCAGAGATTTGACAGTGACACTTCACTATCTGGAGATGCTTTAGAGACAGAGGGTCAAAGCCAGAGGCGACCTAGCACATTGCCACTTGAGAGTCAAGCTCCACCAGAAAGTAGCTGTGAGATGAGTGCACATTTTGAAGAATTAGACCATTATACAGATGAATGTGTTGATGCAAAGCATAAAACTGAGAAAATTGTAAAACGTGTCAAAACACCTTTTCAAATGAAGGTTGGTCGGTTTTCACTGTATAATGATCGCATTATGAGTTGTAAGGAAGAACAAAGTGAAGAGTTTGTTTCAGAACACAAAGCAGGTGATTCTTCAAAGTCTTCATTGTCCATGCCTCATGGCATCAATCGATACTGTTTATCGGAAACTGTCCCGTTGCTCCAAGAAACGAAGGAAAAGTCAGGTTGCACTTTGGATGACCGTCATTCCAGCGAAGAACAAAAGCTGGCAGAAACTTGTGATATTACCAAATTATAGGTTTTTTTTGTGCATATGTGTGTGTTTATCTATACATGTGTATACACGTCTTATTTTAAAGAAGTTGAGTTAAAACTGAATAAAAATCAACACTTATTTGAAACTTTGACACACAGATTTCTATGCTAGTTTGGGCAATTTCTGTGCCATCCTTGGTTAGACAATGTCTTGCAAAGAGAGAGAAATTTGCTCAAGTATACAACTTATGTGGCAAAAATTTCATCACCTAAGTTGCATGCTGAAATGAACCTCTTATTTGCTGTGAGAAACTATCTGACTGATGACAGCATGTGAAAGTTTTGAAACTAGTATTGGGGTCTTTGTGTCAAAGCTCCAAAAATGTATGGATTTTAGTTTAGTTTTGACTAATATATATATACGGTATTGTGTACTCATTTACAATGAGTTGTCAATTATATGTTAAGCCTATAGGGGATCAAACTTGGCTTGCTAATATGGTAGGGCCAATACCGAGTGCCAATTAGGCTAACATATACCTAATAACTGTTTGTTATCTATATATCTTAGCCTTTGCCAATTTTATTTGTTTTGTTTCTAGTAGCACAGAACATTTTCAGGAACCTCGGCCTACCATAGTTGTTTAACCCGAAAGTTTTGTCTTGTAAGACGACGTAGCAAGAATACTGATTTTAAGTCCAGGTAACAGTTAGTTAGCCTAACCTGCTTAATAGTTGCTTGTCATCATGATGATCCAAGTTTAAACTCCAGTAGGCCTAGCATATTCTTTAAAGGAAAACGTGTATAAATGTACATACACGTACATAAATACACAACTTTAAAATTTGGAATCCATCTTGAATACTATGAATTCTTAAGATTAGACATTATTTTTTTCAAATTTTTCTCTTTGGTTAGAATTCATTTGCATGAGTATTGAAATTTAGAGATTTAAAAAATAATGTCCATTTTGTTATCTGTAACAAATGTACAATTTGTACTAGCCTTTGTCAGTTTTAATCGTTTTGCTTGTAGCAAAAGGAATTTTTAGGAGTAATATGTACTGTAGCTGCTTTGTGTGAAAGTTTGTGTTGTGAGATAAGCGAGTGAGAATGCTGCTTTTAAGTGAGTATAATGAATAATGGATGGATTGTTAATAGATTACCATCATTAAAAAATAAATTATGGCTTATTAACTTTTTGGGGGTTTAAGTGCATTCCAGTTAATGACATAACTAGCATCTTAGTTCATTACTGGTAATGTTGCAGTCATTTGATGACATGTGCTTGTTTTGGTGATCTCATCTTTAATGTCAGTGTTATATATATACGTGTCTGTCCAAAGTTAAAACTTCTTGCAGATCTTAAAATTATGTAATATACATAAAACAGTGGAGTCTCGCTTATTGAAAATTTATCTATTTTACAAATTATTTTTCTCTTCTATAAGTGTGTGTGTATGTTAGTGCTAATATTTCAATCTGCCAGAAACAATCAATTCTTAATTTATGTACATTGAGTAATATTTTGTTTAATGAAGGTTAAGGTTTTTGTTTCTCAAAATTTGTAGCTATTTTCTTCAGAAAGTGTGGTGGTTAATATTACAGTATCCACTAGTTCCTGTAGCGTATATTGAGTGCTGGGCCAGAAACCGTAAGAATAATGTTTGACAAGGATTAAACATGTTCTTTAGTGTGCATGTTTTCTTCAAATAACCTTAAATATTATATGTTCACTTATCAGATACTTGTCCTTGAATACTTTAAAATTAATTGTTTAACAAAAGCTGTAATTCAAGCTATGGTGTTGAATATTATTTATTTCTTTTCTAAAAGATAAAGGTATATGAAAGAAATGTTTTCAAGAAGAAAAACATTGGCAACCGAAAAAATTTGTATTGATTTTTTATGTTTAATCAAATTTTCATTTGTACATCTATCAAAATTAATCATCTTCAAGCATTTAAGTGGTGCTTTTCTAACCCTGCACAATTGGTAATAAAATGTTGCAGTTTCTAGCCAACTTGATAAGTGTAGAATGTAATACTGATGGAGAGCAATATAGTGGCTTTTATCAATGGAGGAACTTATTTTGGAAATGATTTTATATAGTGCTATTAATCTAAAATAATAGTTCATTATATATATATATTTCATACTCCTTTTTAATAATCAAATACAAAATATTTGTAAAAATATTGAGTTTCTTTTGTTCACTATTAACCACTATTTCTGGAAAGCAATTTTGAAGAGAATGTACTAACTTGGATGGAGTAGATGGAGAGCTGTAATATGAACTTTATATGATTGCTCCTTGGTCCAGTAAATGTACAGCATTAGTTTCTATATGTAGATTAATAGAGCCTGGTAATTTGTATTCAGGTTTGGATTTTCAATAAGCTAGACTCCAGTTGCTCTTAGCTACTTTTCAAGCTATGTTTGTGCAATCTTGTAATTAATTTTCTGTTTTGCATTTGTACATTTGATTGCATCCGACTATGGAATAGTCGGTTGATTGTTGGGTTCTTTCATTCCTGAAAGTATTAAGCTTGATTTTAGCTTTTTGATGTATTAAATGTTATGTTTTTGTTATTTCTGTTTTTACATAAAAAGTAAAAAAACAAAAAGATTAGTAATTTTTAGTGAATACTAAAAGTGACCATCTGAAGCTGGCATGACAAATACCATTCACCATCATGGGTTTAATTCTTTTTTAGCTTTCATAGTACAGTATGTTTTTACCTTATGTTACTTTCTTGAGGAAGCTTTGTACCATTAATAACGTTGAGAAACATTATTTTTTAAACTACTAACTTTTTTATTTATTTACTCATTCGAGTAAGCAAGCTTACTGTGTTGTTTTGGGCATACTCATTTTTCAATTTATTTTGAAAAAAACCTACGATGTATATATCCATACATAGCTATTGTTTCAGTTCTTAAAACCAGAAATGACAGGATTTCATGCAGTGATACATGTACTCGTGTGAAGACTACCAAGAAACTAGTTTGAGTAGTAGAGAAGGGGAGGAATAATATAAAGAAATTTTTTATTTTCCATTTCTTGTAACCAAATTTCTTAATTAATGCAACCCATTGTTTGATCTTGCTAGTGTTGTAATTAATATCCATACATAGCTATTGTTTCAGTTCTTAAAACCAGAAATGACAGGATTTCATGCAGTGATGCATGTACTCGTGTAAAGACTACCAAGAAACTAGTTTGAGTAGTAGAGAAGGGGAGGAATAATATAAAGAAATTTTTTATTTTCCATTTCTTGTAACCAAATGTTTGATCTTGCTAGTGTTGTAATTAATTTTTACTTGGGTTGTGCTTACCAAATAATTTCGAAAACTGAAGACTGTCTGTAAATGTGCAAGGATGTTTAATTTTTATTTCATAAATCTCAAAACCCCATAAGGTAGATTGACATTAAACTTGAGAACTTGTTAAAATTGATACTCATCAAGATTTGTGTAGGGATGTACTTGTATTTATTTCTTCTTCTATTATGTTTTCAAGGCCTTCATTTATTGGGTAGATTTTTCTGAAACTTTGGCAACATGTTCCTTTCAATAGTCTTTAACATATTTGTTTTTTGTTGAAAACAAAAAGTAATTACAAACGAAGAACTTTCACCAGGTGTTTGAATTGCTAAATGTGTATGGTTTTACTAGACTTAATTACCATGTTTTTATAAGTAACCTCAAATTACAGCTTTATTCATTCAGTACATTATGGTGTTTAAGTAAGACGTACAGAAATCAATAAAACTGTAATAAACAATTTACATGTAAAAGAAAGTATTGTGTTCCCAAACCTTTTCTGTGACTATCTTGTATAAACAGGAACAGAATTGGGGGAAGAATAAAGATAAATGGTTTTATTTGTATAAAAAACTCAGTAATTTCAAACTGTTTATTTGGTAATAAAAATTTTTACTAAACCTTTATTTAGAAAAAAAGAAAAGAGAAAGAGACTGGTTTATCTCAAACAGAGCTAGTACAGTAAAAGTACCTGTAAAACATCAAGTGTCTGTTGAACTTGTATGTCTGATCATTGATTATATACATACATTTTTCTTTTTGCTGTTTGTGTTCAGTTACATGCTACATTATAAGATTTATATTTTTATTGAGCAGCTGGTAAATATGTTTGTAAATAGGCAGTCCACAAAGTTTATTAGTTTGTGGACTGTCAATCATAATAGTTACAGGTAAGCTAAAATGGTTTATCTAATTTAATTATCTAAAAAAAATTAAATCTTAATTAAACACAGATGACTGTACAGACCAGAATTTTTCTTTCACTATAATAGTAAGGCATTAAGAAAAAGGAATTGTTGAAGAATTTAAAACAGTATAAGGTCATGTCAAAGGTCATGTCATTACCATGAATGTTCGTGTAAGTCATTTGCAAGATGTCTTAGTGCAGACTTCAGCTAATGAGAAAGTTCACAAGTAAGGTAATATACTGATTACAATCTTTTAAAATATTTTACGTCCTGAAGTGAAGTATGAGCCAAAATAACTCAAACTGTTGTTTTATCAGCATAATTGATGGTTGTCATTTTTTGTGTATTAGTAGTACACATCCAGTAGTTCCTGACTAGCTATTTAAACTACCGGTTTCTCTTATATAGTTTTCTATTTATTGTTTTTCTAACTTTATTTTTGAGTCTTAAATCAAAAAGTAACTGTACTATGAACAAGTTTTCTTTAAATACAGTATCTATTACATTTATTTTTCTGGAATATGGTTTTTATGATTTTTGAGGTCTGAAAAATGTTGCAAGATTTAGAATCAGTGAAGTGACTGAAGAAAATAATTTTGATTTAAAATGATTGTATGTTTTTAAAAGCATCTTTCACAACTACTTGTTAATGTTTTAGTTGGCAACTAAACAACTTGGTATGCTATGTCCATTATTTTCTGTAAAAAACTTACATGTATGTTGTTTATATTAAAAAAAGATGTAGGTGTTGGTGTCTTAGTTTAGTAACTAAGGCTAGATATGATATTGACCTTTTTATAACTTTGTTTTAATGTAGCTTGTAAATATTTTGTTATTGAATAAGTTTGAGGCTAGCTTTTGCAGATATGCTTTTCTGACTTGCTAGATCTTTTGTAGGTTTTTTCAAGAGCATCTAGTCTCTGAAATTGAAACATGTCAATGGGTGTAAAAACAACTGTGTAAAGACAAAAAGAAAAGGTTGACACACTAATCAGCACAGTTTTTTCTTTGGTTTCATTGGAATATTTTGGACACATTATGCTATGTAGAAAATGATCATAAACTCCAGAATATTTATTTATATTTTGCACAACGTTTCGCTTGTACAACTGCTTCAGGAGAAAGGTAACTAGGTTAAGTAGAAGGTTGATTGTAAGGATGTTGTTCAGTGAAAAGTTGAGCAAACTTTAAATAAATAAAAATTGTTCTGGAGTTAATGGTTATTTACGGTATAGTACAGTACCTCGAGCTATAGTACATTGTGTGAGAAGTTGAAAACCTCTCTTAATAACATTTTTGTTATACAAACACTTGATGAAATTATTCAAAACATTTTCCATGTACATGTACAAAGTGATACTTATGGTCACGTGAATTTTAAGTTCTAAATGCCCCCCCCCCTCTCCTGTGGCTCAATGGTTAGCCCGAGGACTTGCAACGCTAAAATTCTGGTTTTGATACACGCAATGGACAGAGCAGAATGTCCATTGTGTAGATTTGCGCTTAACAACAAACGGGCAAAGGTCCTAAGTACCACGTTTTGTTTTGTACACCCACCTTAATAATAAAATATTGCTCACAATAAAACTGTGTTTTAAATATACCAACTTTCTCGTTCGAGCTTCGTAATTTTATTATCGAATAAAAGGGAATTCGGTTACGTACATGTGTATTCTATTGTTTGCTTCCAAAGTATTGTCAGAACATGAGTTGTTTTCTGATTTCATTTCAAACATGTAAACATTTAATTATCATTCATATGATGGTATCCTATATATATATACAAGGTTTCATCAGCTTACAAGCTGGATTTTAAAACATTTGGTTCTAAGGTAGGTAATATTCAGGCCTTTATTGGTAATCATGCCTCTTATAGAAACATGATTTCCTATAATACTAAGACAAGTTTCATGCGGTTTGAACACGTGTTTACCCGACTCAGCCATGATCTGTCAGTGTATATGACATGTGCTGTTTGAAATTTCATTGTAAACGTCAGTTTGTGCTTGTAAAAAGATTGTCAATGTGTATAAGAGTTAACACTAATGGACTTGTTATACTGTATATATTTTTAACGCCCTGTAAGAAATTCTTCGGACCGAGTCCTGCCTCAAGGTACCAAGTGCAATTCTAAACAAGTGCTTATATGTGAGTGGAAGAAAATGTAGAGCTGGTGCTGAATTGATTGTTCATTTATTGTTTTTTTTTAATTTGTTTCTTTTAGAATCCCTTCAAATAGTTGTTTACTTCTCCAGATATTACTATATTATTCAATATATTTCTTCATCTCATTAAAGCTATGAAGGAAAGAGGAATGTTGAATTTATTAATACTTTGTGTTATGTGTGAAATAAAATAAAAATATATATCTACAATATTACAGTTTAAATTTACAGACTATATTGTGTAAAGTAAACCTTAACTGGGGATCGTAGCTAAGCATTTTGTAAGGAATCCCACCGATAAGGTGTGTTAAAGTAGAATCTTAATTACACCAAAGCCTAACGAATCATTGAGATACACAAGCTGGGGAAAGTAGTTAATCATTTTGAAAGGAATCCAACTAATAGGATGTTTTAAAGCTTAATGAATCATTAAGATACACAAACGTTGGTCAAAGATGAGAAGCGGGATATGTGAAATGCTTCTACACGTGTTTATCATGGAACCATACTTTCCTTTGCAATCAGTTTCATTATGATTGTAGCTTATTTGGTCTCGTGCTTTTTTTTTTTTTGCTTTTTTTTTCTATATGTAAGTGAAGCAAAGGAATCTACTGTTTCTTGGTTGTAATTCTTAGAAAAACGTCAGTGTATAGAAGTTTTAAATATATAATTTACCTGCCATATTCCTTACAGTTGTGTATGAGAAACAGCAAGTTAAAATAAACTTCCCTCGGTGGTCAAGTGGTTGTCTGTATTTTGTGTTCAACGCAAGAAATGCATCAAAGTTTACTGTTTTCGATATATCGTAATATGATAAGTTGTAAGTTTAAAAACTAATTACCAATTAGGTAGCGCTGGGCAAAAAAAAACAAAACAACTGAATATTCAAAAATACATTAGCTACAGTTATTTTAAGCCAAGAATTAAAATTTTTGAACTTGCACGTTTTATAACCAAAATGACATGGAATGGTCACTAAAATATACAGTGTGTACGTAACGTAATGGTATTGTATTGATTTATATTAACACTGGTCCACAAGTTGTGGTGAATAGTTGGCAGTTTTAACGACGAACCGGTTTAGATCTGAATTATTCAAAGATTAATGTTGCCTTGCTATGTATGTTAATTAACCATAGAATGTACCGAAACCATCCACAAGTTGTGGAGAATAGTTGGCGGTTTTAACGACGAACCGGTTTAGATCTGAATTATTCAAAGATTAATTATTACTAAAGTGGTAAATAATGTTGCCTTGCTATGTATGTTAATTAACTATAGAATGTACCGAAACCAGTTCCACTTGTTTGGCTCTGAAAGTATACTTTAGCAAGATTATATTTTGTTTATAAATCAGAACGTGAGATACGTTAGCCATATATTATTGTTATTTTTAATTCAAGAAAATGTGTAGTATGACGTTTTCCTTGAGTCGTTATGCTGCTTTTGTCGTAGGTTAAGATACGTTATTTGAAATGCCATACGTTGCGATTGTTACCCCTCATATACACCGGTTTGTAAGTTCTTGTCCAGCTTAAACTAAATAATAAAGTTTGGTTGTTTATCGCTGTTATCCTTAAAGTACTCTTTTTGGACTAGCAAAAAGTTATGTTGATATATTTACCCATGTTAAAGCATAAATATGTTCGTTTGTGATTGGAATACTTTTAAGCAATTGTTAAAATAAGAAATGGAGGATAGAAAGATCGTGTTGTTGAAATAGTGCTATGCTAATGTATGGGAAAAAAATAGTATTTTGCCACAATACTATTAAAACTTTAAAGAAACAAATATAATTTGAACAGTTGTGCCATTATAATATATTGATAATAGGAATAGGTGGGATGTAGATTATATAGATTCTGACCACTTGGTAAATCCAGAGGTCGAAAATCTTTATATTGTTAAACCTTACAAGCTGAGATTTTTTTTTTGTGTGTCCTACTTTTACGAAATTTGCCAATCATCGAATTTGTAAAGTGAAGTTTAGAATACATTTCTAATATGGAAACAAACATATATATTGGTTTCCAAATTAAAATACAAAAACATAAAATGATAAGTTATGATCTCGAACATAGTATAGCGCTAAAGATAAAAAAAACATGAGAATACTAGGTTTCAGAACTTGGTTTTAATAGGATAGACAGATAAAATATTGATTTTATATGTACTTACAAAAATGAAGAAGGAGCGAATATGATTGACTAATAGGTGGCGCTACTACTGCATTTCCATGGTCAAGATCACAAAAGACATCGAAAAAAATACGAAAGTCGTTTATTTTCTTTTAATTTAATTCCATAAGGAAAATATTTGTACGATCATTGTTTTTACAGCGCGCTAAGAATAGAAGTATAATTATCAATTTTTATTTCATTTCACCGAAATATAATGAGGTAGTGTTCAAATAACCATGTGATATCACGCACGAAGCCATTGGACAGACTATACGAAGTGTGTGTACTATAATTCTGAATTTATTACACGTATCTTCACGAAGAATGGCAAGCTTTTAGTAAACGTTTGTACACAACAAAGTCATATTTTTTACTAAAGTATTTCTACTAAGGTCTGTCTGTGAATTGTACCATAACCTTTACTGAGGAAAAGGTGATTTCTATGGTAAGAATAAAAATACTTTTCATCTTGCAGGTTTCACATTTCATTTGCATAATATAAAAATTTTTCCTATCAAAACTTTATATTTTCCCTATCCTAACACTAACTGTAGCAAAATCATCAATGTATAATAAATTGAAAAACTAAATTATTATGTAAAACAAATAATACCTTTTATCTCGGTTGCTTTAAATACGCAACTTATTTTAGGTTTAAAATTACTTAACTTCACGGTTTCAACTGTTAACCCTTACACATTTTGTTTTCATGTTATGGTTTTATTGCCAGTACAGGAGCAGTTTGTCCACGGTCGAAAGCAACAAGTCTTAGCGTGAATCCATTAGCTGTTTTACGTAAACAGGAAGCCTCATATTTTTTTTAAATTTGGCTCTCTGAAAAATAATTAATATTGTTACGTCTCCGTTTGTTAATTGATTTTCCGTAACTTCG